AAGCTCTGGAATAGTGATTCAGGGAGAAGACCCCCCCCCCCCCCCCCCCCCCTGGGGGAGGACTTTTGTATTCATGACAGGCTTCATAGGTGTTGCTTGAGCCGTCCTCCTCGCTGAGCTTGAGAGTCTGCAAGGGTATTCTCACTAACTTGGGCGCAAGTATGTGGTAATATACATGTTTGGATCATCTGGGAGAAAATGACACCCCATGAGGGGAGGATTCCAAGTCCGAGCACACAGTCCAGCTCATTACGAAGCTGAAAAATGGATTGTACGAGAGACTCTCTTTCTCTCCGTCCGGCCCCTCTTTGTTTGATATCTTCCCACTTGCTCTCTTCATTCTGTCACCAAAGACCTCTGTTTTCCAGTGGTTTTACGTTTCTATCACACCCTCACTTTCTTCTCATTTTTCTACAGTGCTTCTTCAAACCAACTTTTACATTTCACATGAGAAAAAAACTGGAAAACACCTTTTCTTTCAATTTTCATTGACACATTTTATGATACTCAATAAATCAGTTCTTGTGTCCCTACAGCGAGGAAGTGCTGGCAGTAAAGACTTTCTTCACTTTTCCATTTCATTGCAGTAAATCGTCAAGACACCTTGGGACGTCTTGACGACACGTTCAGCTGATTCAATTCTACGTTTTCAGTCTGAGCCACAGTTTCTCCATTTAGATGTCGGGATACGGCCTCTATAGAGCTTTCCATCCTGATATTTAGAGTCCATTTAATTGGATGCTAGTCTTATCTAAAATCTTGGGCTTGTGCATCCACCTTGAAGCGTGCAGAAAAACAAACCGTTCAAATCTGATGACAAAGGAGGAATTCAAGAAAGGCATTTGTCACAAAGGAGAAGAATAAATGCAATGTAAGGGGGAAATGATGACATCCACTGCAACTGATACCACATATCATTCTTCTTAGGTTTCTGTACCCGAAATGTTATTCTATCAGTGTACAAACGCTAAGATGATTTTTGGTGCAGTTCATCTTTAGATAACCTTTTCTTGCAAGATTTGTTCTACCATTTTAAAATGATTTAAATGGAGAGCAGGGGATTAGATTATGAAATGATAAATGGAGCACAAGATAAACAGAAGAATATATATATAACCCGGCAATTTATTGAGCTAGAGTCACTTTAATTGTGCTGTTGTGGGGTTATTTAACACATGTGTCTACGCAGCATATGTTTTGCGAGCTAACATAATCAACAATATATGCCAGAAATGATTAGGTTAAAAATAGGTTAATAATAATACAGGTTATTAACTAATAAGACAGAACAAAAGGCTAAGGTAATGACACACACACACACTCTATGAACATTACAGCACTTCTTGCAACACGCTCAGCTATGACGACCCTGCAGCCCTTAAATGGAAATGAATACAGGAAGAAATTAACTGGCGATGGATTTTAAATAACTTTCAGCAGCTTCTCGTGTCTTTTCGAGGGTGACATGTGGGTGTCCATTGTGTAAAACCAGAGAAGACCCATACCTTTCTCACAAATATAATTCCGCTCGCTGCTTGAATTCTCTCTGGATGCAAATGTGTGTTACCTAAGAAAACATTGATAACACATATCTGTAAAGTATATACAGTATGAAGCTCGCGCTAGTAGTCCGCTTAACAGAGCATACAGTGTGGCTGCTGTTTAGTGCTTTCATGCTAAGTTAGGCAAAACATTTTCCAATAGGTACATATGACCATACCAACGTGATCTCCAAAACCTGTTCGTAAAAATGTATACGAAAATCTTGAACATACAAATTCGTAACAATACATACGAATTGCCGGTGGTTAACCACGCCCCTTGAGTGAACAAAATGGCGGACCATGTTGGATTCTTGAGTGAACGTTTCTCCGCCATGTTGGATTTTTTGAGGGGGTTAGGGTTAGTATTCTATTCTTACAATTTAACATTGATTTCTCGTTAAAAATGCAATCATAACACGTTTATTTTACATCGTTATACTTCACAAAGTGTGTTTACGGGATGCAGCTCCCCATTCACTTTGACTAGGGTGACGTCATCAGTTGCAGTCCGTATTTATTTTGCATGTATCACTACGAATTTGTATGTTCAAGATTTTCGTATACATTTTTACGAACATGTTTTGGAGATCAGGCTGGACCATACAGGTAGAGAGCGTTATTATCCTCTGTGCAAGGAGGCACATGATGCATCCCAAAAAGTTAAACTGTCTTTCTGCATTCGTGTTAGACCACTTAACTAAAAAACACAGTAAAAGTTCTAATTTTCAACGAATATTCAGAAGATTTTTTTTCAGATGTTATTTCTTAAAAATTGAAGACTTCTTTAAATAATACATTTACTACAGTCTCTGACTCACATCCTACTCAGTCTTTTGGTAAACCCAGAAATCCTCAAAGGAAACATCACAATAAATCCATCAAAGTAATTTAAAAGACAGTGAGTCAACAGAATTTAAAAATTCCCCCCAAGCCGGATCATTTACTGAGAAAGCCATTAAGTGTGAGGGGAAATTAGAATTCATCATCATACACCATCAACGTGTCGGTTCTTCTGCTTTTCTCCCTTTATATTAATGTTGCCAGCATCTCTTTTACGTCACAGTGCAAAGATGGAGGCACATGAGACATCCCAGTCAATCCATCAGGCTCGTCTCCATCATCACCTCACTCCAGCTAAACTCTTCTATATCACCTCCCTTACTCACCAGCGGCAAAGGACACTGGTTTGCCTCTTGAGTTTATTTGTATTTGTTTGGTTGTTAGTCTGAAACGGCGCCCCAACACCCACATTTGAACAACAAGGAATGCATGCGGTATAAATCCCTTCAACCTTCCAACGAGCAACAATGGTTAGTTTACAGGTTTCAGCTTTAACTATAGTGCATTAGATATTGGCCTGATGACTTTCTGAGTAAGTTTGGTCTGGATGTTTCAGCTGAGCAGTCACGTCAATTAAGCAAATGAGTCGGTTTAGAGAGACAAGACAAAGACAAGCAGAAAGAAAATAACACAAAAAACAAAGTGGAGAGAAAGACAGATCCAACACAAAGGATAAAACAGCGTACTGCGCTGTTTGCACAGGGGAGCCTGATTCTGAGTGAAACTGTAAAAGCCGTGCAAGTGTGCGTTCAGCAGGGGAGTGCAGATGTCTTTGGCAGCAACAATGTGTGTGATGAGCCTGCAGACAAGATCCAGATGGAAGGCTGAACGAGGCACTAGACAGCAGACCCATCTCATCAAGCTCCCGAGAAACAAACCTTTGCCTTACCTGTGTCGTCTTGTAGAAAATACTGAGAAAAGAGTCAACGGGAGAACCAGTGAAAAATATCTGTGTAATACCTCGATCTATATAAATCTTCCATGAAATAGTTGCATTTAAATGAGCAAACAGTCAGTTTCTGGTGGAATTTAAGTGCTTTCATAATCTTGTTTTTTTGCCAATCTTATCCAGTGATGCAGCAATTTAGGGACCTTCTTCTAGTGAACCTTAAAAACACGTGAATTATTAAGCCTTAATGGGCAAACTATTAAATCGTAAATTGACATTTGCCCTTTGCTGTGAATAAATTGTCTTTTGCGTTTGTTAAATTGAGGAAAGAGGTTTGTGATGGCATTTAGACTTTTTGAATTGGGTACTACGCCTGGTAAAAAAAAAACATGGCAATGATTTTCCATTTTGTGAGCAGAAGCCCGATCATGGCAGTCTGTAGTTTCACACATGATAAGGGGATTGTAAAATGTAACTGTCGAAGGGGATATAAATGTCAGCTACACTTTTTCTATAAAGATGGTACGAGCTTGAGACATCTAAATTGAGACTTTTACTTTTGTCAATTTCAACTGAAAACCAGAGTCAATGGAATGTATTGGTGCAGGTGCTTATATGACAATTTGAGGCGTAATGATACTGGCGGGGATATTTGTGAGTGTTTACCACAAAGGTGATCTGCTTCCTCCTGCTGTGCCTCCTGTATTTTGGAGGGAAAAAATATCCCTGAGGGAGGTTATTTCTCATATAATTGTAATTCTTCGTGCCACTTCAGTGAGCTGAAAGAAAATGGGTGTTTTGGTCTGGAGTTCACATTGTTTTACGTCAGCATGAGCGACGACTTGCGTAACTGGCCCTTTCCTTGTGTGGAGTTTCATCAATAAACCTGATTCAACCATCCGAGCAGATAAAAACCCATTTATTACCAGATGTGTATCTTTATTGCTCTCATTAGGATGCACGCCCATAACCCTTTTTAGAGTTTTAATCGGTTCAGTGAAAAAATATATACTGTTGGTGGTGATATTGATGTCTCTCAAGCCGTGAAGGGTACAGATGGATAATAGCCTCAGTCTCTGTGATCCATCATAACTCATCATGCAAAGTTATCGCCAATTGCAAATTCCACTTCACCCATAAATCTCACTCAAGCTATGAAATGAGATGCCATCCGGGAGAGAAATACCACATAATGTCAAACCTGACTGCACTGGAGTCCCTGGGATCCTGGGGAGAGAAAAAGAAACTCAAACTCAAATTCAGAAGCAACTGGACGGAGTTAAGTTTCAGGCGGCAACCCATTTGTTTACGGGCCTTTAATCCCAACTTTAATCTAGATTAAATCCACATCTGGCATGTCCCCTGCATGCCTCCACGTCCTTCTTGGACCCCAGGCTGCTGACCACTCTTCTCAGAAAAGGGAGCATGACACCACCCCTTTTGGAGTCCACCCCAGGATAGAAAGGATGAGAGGATTGTTGTTTTTTTAACGTGACGTCTGAGTTTTTATTTGTAGGTTTGTGGTGCCAGAGTGTAACTGTGCACAGGGAAACAAGGAGGTGATGTAAGAGGGAGTTGTCATCTGTTATCTTTGCCTTTGGCTCGGACAGCTGTTTCGGTCTCTTCTCTCACAAATATTCAGCGGCCGGACTCTGATTGAGCATCCTGACGTGCCAAGGAATTAAGACTCATACTCAGAACAATCCAAAAAACTGCAGCCCAGAAAATGGATTTCTCTCAGATTACTTGGAGAGCTTTTATTTGGAGCGTTGCAAAGTACACGTCATGGTTGTTACTGCTCATCCTCTCTTGCTCGCACACCCTCTCGCTCTCCAACACAAACACACCGTCTCTCCCTCGGTCCTCTCACCTCATCGTCGACTCGATTAAAAATAAGCAAAAAAAACACCTGCACCATAGTAAGTATTTTCACACCGCCTACCTTGAGTTTGCGACAGAGAGTCTTTGAGTTCGGGCATTCAAACATATATCAGAAAGATATAGACGGTTTACATATATGGCCATCAGTTTCTTTGTATCTATCCTCAGGACATGGCTTCAAGCTTCGAAGAGGAGCACTTCTTTGAATTTATGAAAGAAAATGATTAAGTATGAGACACATTTTCAACTCATTCTGTAGGCAATATATTAAAAAGTAAAATAAAACTTAAAGTTGCAGTCGGGCTTATAAGTATTTTCACAGTGGAAGGAAAAGCAACTTTGGATTGAATATTGCATGTTTATGGAAGCAGCTAATTACTAATAATGCTGCAGAGGCTTTCTGGTCAGACACACTGAACTGTCCAAGTTAAAGGGTTTAAAGTCTTTCCGTTTCTGTGCAGTCTACAGTGTGCACACTTATTCTATGCAGGGCAAAAGAGAGGCTGTCTGTTCAATCTTCCTTAAATCCGTGCCCTCACAACCTTATGGGAGGTGAAGCAATAGTCGTTTGCAGTACAGTTGTATGCAGTGCAGTACAGTTGTATGCAACACAGAGTGGACTCGTGTCTTCTTGTTCGGGTTTAGGTCAGTCGGTACTGTTCAGAAAGCTGCCGGCGGCAGGTTGTGGTTGTTATTTCCTGCAGCGTCGCCACCTTTCCCTAACAGAGAAAGAGACTCCAGTGAGTGCACACTATCCTTGTCTAGACGTAATCCCAGCCCGGGTGGAGCCAAGTTCTCCCCCCCTTCTACGCCTCCCGCCTCCTGCAGCTCCCCAGAGGCAGCGGCGGCAGCAGCCGCAGCCGCCGCGCACTCCTCTTTGAACAACCTGTCATGCTCCATCTTGAGCTCTTGGTAGGACCGGGAGAACATGTGGAAGATGGAGGTAGCAGGGAAGGCCATGATGAGGATCCCGCTGAGGATACTGCTCAGCGCTACAACCTGTCCCGGAATGGACCTGGGCACCATGTCGCCGTAGCCCACGGTCGTCATGGAGATGATCGCCCACCAGTAGGAGGCCGGGATGCTGCTGAAGTCGTGGGTGCCCGTGAGCTCGCTCTCGGCCAGGTGGACCAGCGGGGAGAAGAGCGTGACGGCCACGCAGAGGAAGAGCAAGAGGAGGCCGAACTCCCGGGTGCTGCGCCTTACCGTCAGCCCGAGAGTCTGCAAGCCGAGAGAGTGGCGAGCCAGCCGCATGACGTAGAGAATCCTCAGCGCCCGCAGAATCCTCAACACGAGGCCCAGCTTGTCCAAGTAGCCCTTACCTCCTCCTGGCTTCTCGTGCTCCAAGGACGGGTCGTCCTCCGACACCACCAGGGAGACGTAGTAGGGAAGGATGGCCATGGCGTCGATGATGTTGAGCGGCCCGCGGAGGAACTCCAGCTTGCTGGGGGCCTGAACAAACCGCAGGAGGAACTCCAGGGAGAACCAGGCCACACACACGGTCTCTATGATGAACATGTTGTAGCACTTAGATGAACACTCGCCCTGAGGTAGAGGGGGAAGGCGAGAGGTTGGGGGAGCAAGAGAGTTACAGAGAGATCGAGAATGAGAGGAGCAGGAGTTTGACAGGGAGCAAGACAGATGGTGGGGGGCGGATGGAGAGGAGACAAAAATCCTGAGGTCAGATAATCATCCTTGGTAATCATTCGTAAATCATGAGGTCCAGTCACTCAGGAAGCTAAAGCCACTGCGGCAGCATTGATAGTTAATGATCAATTATTTTTATTAGGGCAGGTTACAAAGATTAATGTGAATGTGATACTCAACCAGTCAGGTCCGCATGCTCTCTAACTACAGTATCAAGGAAACACAATGAGATATTAAAAAACGCTGTTTGAAGACAGAGATTTGGGAGCATAGAAGCCGTTAACAGCGATCTGTCACTTTCAATTTTATTATTAATTAGCCCCCTGATCTTAGTCCCTCTGCAGAAAGTATCTTCAATCACTGGATATATTATTGAGTTTTGAAGTCGTGAAGATATAACTTCCCCTTTTTCTGCAACAACTCCTGAATAATACATAATACTTCACAGTGCATTTCCATGAACAATGACCTTAAAATTAGTATTTTAAATCTAGAAAAACAAACAAACACGTGAACGGGAGAACTAGAGGAATGGATTAAAAAAGTGGATGTTAAAAATGAAATTCCAGTTGTGTACTTTTTTGGGGTTAGACCACCTTACCTCACTGTAACAGGGACTCTTACTACTGAACATAAACTGAACATGCTGTTCCCTAATAAAAGACACAAAAGAGAAAACAGATTTATATACTGTATGTTAACTTGTTGTTCTGCAAACTTTTCAATAAAACTGTGCAATGCACTACCCTAAATTACTTATTTAATTGTGCGCATGACGTTGTTAATCGATGTTAATCACAGAAAAATTATGCGATTAATTGATTACATTTTTTCAACTTTGCCCAGCACTAATATTAATAAAACTGATGTCATCTCTATCCTTTCTCAGCCCATAAGTCGTCTTTTCTCACTGTTCTTTGTCACTGTGTCCCTAATTTGCTTTCCCTCCCTTTTACCCATCTGCTCTCTTTCTCTCTGCCCCCATTTCTTTTCTCTGCCTCTGTCTCCACCTTCTCATCAGTCATTCGGTCTCGTGGTCCATGACCCTCTCTGGACGGCCGCGCTCTCATCCTTCATTCTCTGTTCGCCTCGCACACCAGCCTCTTTCTGCTTTAATTCCTTCAATCTTTCAGAGTTCCTCTACATGTGAAACACAGCTCCCTCCACTTTTCCTCTAAGCATCGTGCAGCCTTCACACGCGCTCTCACTTATCACTGGCGTCCTCACTGACTCATTTTATGCATAGGGAGTTTTACAATATATGCAGTGCTATTTACCTCCATTCACTCTAAATGCATCTTTTTAATGCTTTACTGCCAAATCGTTATAGGCCATTACAGGAAGGGGTTGGTCGTCTGTTGCAGAATCATATTCTTGCTACATCCGGACGGCAATAGATAAATAATACTGTACTGTTCATTGAGCAATGATGAAACGACTGGACGAGGCACCAGTGAGTCTTCCTGCCTGCCTGTGATTACCAACAATAGCCAGGTTTGTTGTTGTTCACGTTCATAGTGCTGACTTTGGGAGCGTGGCTTTGGAGCGAAGCCTGGACATCCTGACAACTTCATCGCTAAATTTAACTTTAGTGATGCCAGCTATCTTTTGTAGTAAAATAACTAGCAACGTTGAGCATTGAACATTTTATATAGCGTACTTGCTGTTTTTTCAAAATGTCCAACCGTATTTTTACACAGCCTCTTTCACCTTGTGTCCCCTTCAAATTTGATCAGTTACTACAAGCTGCAATCAAGAAGGATTATCACGCTATATATAGTTGATATGGCAGAATGCTGGCGAACAGTTGCTCATGTACACAGCTTTTGAACTTCAGAATCTGATTTGAGGCACTGCAGACTCAACGAGTTGAATGTCAGCAATAAATGACGGGTTTTATTGACCTCAATAAAACAGAGCGTACAAGAAACCCTCCCAACAAGCGATCAAAACTTCATCCACCTAGTTCTCGCCTACGGCACAACGTTACAATGGGATGGAGTCATCTACTGCGCCGCACCCCAACGCATCTGGAGCAGCAGCAATCTTTTGTCAGTATGAATGTGTAATCAATTATTTAACTGCGCAACCTCAACTAATGCAACCACATTGGGAACCAGAAGGTCCGGTCACATCGCCACGCTGTACTGTTCACATGACAACTGCAGCTCAGATCCAGATCAGGAAATCCAAAGTATGGCAAAGGTGGCGGGAGAATCCCGCCCTCATTCCCAGGACAGATGCATTGCAGAAGTGTAAAGATTTAAGAAAGGAGACTGTGGTGTTCCAGACCAGTGTTTGTGACCCAAAGTGTTGTTGTCTGTCCTAATAACACATTCTTTGTTTACGTCCTTATTTTAAAGCCCACCCACGGTGAAATCAAAGTGTTTTAATTGCTTAGTAGCTGAAAATCAAATAAAAGCAGACTTATGTCAGTGCTTTAACTTAGTTTTGACATCATCTAAATTTCACAAAATGTTTTTTCAGAATTGTATTGGCATGTTTTGTGCTGCTTCATAAGCCACAAATTGCTTCACAAAAATTTGACTTGTTTTCACTTAATTAAGTTGCATTTTAGAGAATTCAACAGAGACAAAGCCACAATAGCATTCCTTAGGAGTGAGTGAACAGCAGACATATGAACGTAAAATTAAAGTTCACTCTCCTTCTAACTCTTTTTTTTGTTTGTTTTGGCATCAAATGACTCCGGATACAAATATCTGGCTGTTTAGCATCTACATGTTTACTTTATCTGTAGTACCAAGAGGGTTTATCAAGGCTTTTAAACTAAAAATAGCTCCCGCTGCACCTGCCGACGACCTTTATAAATGCAGAACAAATGAGCTAAAAATGTCTCAAAATAAAGCTGAGTGGAACTGCAAGTGCGCTGTTTGAGTAAACCATTACTCTTCACATCTCCGGTTGCCTGTCTGACCTGTATCCATCACTTCATCCCCTAAGCCTGTATCTCGCGCTGACATCAGGCCCATCAGGGCTCTGTGACACCGTTCTCAGTCTCGGCTTCATAGGACATTTGTTACAGCTTACCTCTTCTACACGTGGATACACACACTGGAACGCACACAACCTGCCACAATTGCCACTATCTCCCCGACCTTATCTCCCTTGTACGACTCGCACCCGAACTAAAGTCTGTGACAGCTCATTTCAGCGCCGACACTGTTCACCCAGCTGCTGTCTGGGCTTTCACGTTACTGTCCGCACTAACACATCTCAATGTCATATTAAGACAAAGGCCGTGGCGGGAGTGGAGTTATTGCACGGCGCGTTCTCGGGACGGGCACGAATGCAAATGCAAATTCGAAAACGTCGACAAAAGCTTTTCAAATCCTCGCTTTGACACTTTTATTGACGATAATTACCGTGGATACTTGGATGCAACCAGGAGATGTAGCTCACACCGACGGTCGGTTCAAAAAGCAAAGTGAAAATTGGCAACGAGGTCGAGCTCGTGGTCGTGCAGGTGGAGGTTTGTGTTCACGCTAATTAGCAAAAGGAGGTTGTGGCAGTGGGAGGAGCTTAAAACAAAAAGGCAATTAACTTCTGGACAGATTTAAGCACCGTGGACAAAGCAATCATGGGTTTATTTCCGGTCTCGTGTGGGAGGCACTGTGGCACTAAAAGGAGAAATTAATTTCAGGAATGACTGTTTGCGGTTTAACGGTTTGTGAGGGATGGAATTTGTTGATGAGACTTGTGGGAGGCAACGTCTCTGTTTCATGTTGTCAGTGGGGTCAATTGTCTTTGAGGTTGATTGTGTTAGCGTGTCTGAATGTGGACGCATGCACGCATGGACGGATGCATTAAAACTCACTCCTATAGCAGAAAGGCCTGAAGGCAAACTTGTTCAATCTGACCCTTCGCCAAGTTACTTGAATGTACACTAAATCACAGCTGCGACCACGGTTTGATGAATATCCAGCTGTGACTTTGACTTTCTCCATTTTCAAGCTGATATCAGCATATATATGTAATTTATATAACTGTTTCTGCTGCTGAATCAGTTGGAAATCCTGTATAAGTAATTTATCTGATTTTACAAAAAATGTATATTGTTCAATCACGGAAATTATTTAGTGACAGTGTGGGCCCCATGGGGGCTGTGACACCTTAAAAGTACCTTAAGGGGACACTGTCTTTAGGTAATTAGGATGCTTCTATATGCAACTTTAATTTAAATCCCTGCCTTTGTCACAGCATGTCTCCAACTCGACAAAGCTCTTCTTTCGCAATCAGGAAGAAAAAGCCCCCCCCCATTGCGATCCAACCCGATCCTCGGGTTTGGGCACAAAAGAAAAGACTCTGCCCATCAATCATCTCCATCGTTCACCAGACCGTGAACAGATTTTGTTGCAACGTTGAACATTATTTCTTGATGCTGCTGTACTGACCTTGCACTGACTTTTAAAGAAAAGGAGGACAGACAGAAAGAAACACAGAAAGAAAGCGTGTGTGGTTAGAAGGTCCACCGCTGGCCTTCTCTGAAATACTGCACATCGAGTCACGTGTTCACAAGTCATGGGTTACTAAAGGTGTTGTATCATGTGACACCTCCATCCATCATCAGGCCGGTCTCCAGTAACCTGAAAGCTAACGGCACGCACAGGTTGGACATTACTTCCTTAAAGTGAGCATCCCCAATAGCGGGGGCAACCCCATTAACAAATATAGTGTTATAAATAGGCACTATTCATAAACGTTTATTTAATGAAAATGTTATACTCTTTTATACTCTTCTACAGCTTTCACAAAATCCATAAACCAACTGCATGTTCTGAAAACGGTTAATTATTTGCGCAAAACAAAGTCATACAAACATAAATTGAGCAAATACAGTAGGAACAAGTCATTATGGTTGGACTATAATATCTATAGAT